CACTGTGTGCACCACAAAAAATGAATACAGTGGCAGATACAAAGCCATTTAAAAGTATTTTGGTCTGGGTATATTTGATTTGAATCAAACTGATTTAAATCATAATTTAAATTTTAAAAATCAGACTTTTTGACAATTTAAATTTAAAAATTAATTCCCCGGTTGGCGAGAGGGCGGCGGCTGTTTCCACACGGCAGTGGTCCTGCCGGCGACACAGAAGAGGGAGGCAAACATGAGGAGGGTTCAAAGGCTTATGGTAGGAGAAAGAGGGGAGGGGGGAATAAAGGCAGGGCTGGGGGGGGCTGGCTGGCTGGCTGGCTCCAAAATTGCCTCCCCTCTCCAACCTTGTGCTTTGTTAACCTCACCTGGGTGCACGCTGGAGGGGGGGGGAAGTGCACACACTGCAGAGATGCGAGCCTCAAGAGCCATTGGGAATTTAGGAGCCAAGGAGCAAGTTCCTGGCCGCCCAGCCAGGAAAGTGGGAGAGGAGGGGAAGAAGTTAAGTCTGTCTCAAGGGCTCAGAGCATGACTAGAGCTTATTTTGGGGGTAGGGCTTGTGTCTGTCTCAAGGGCTCAGAGCATCCACTAGAGCTTATTTTGGGGGTAGGGCTTGTATTACAGTTGTCTTGAAAAATCATATAAGGGCTTATTTTAAGGGTAGGGCTTATTTTCGGGGAAACACAGTACAGCATACTGTATGTCGTGCATATATGTGTACACTGAACAGATATTCTTATATAGCGCCTTCTGGTGCAGTGATTAAACTGCTGTACTGCAGCCAAAACTGCTCATAACCCAGGTTCAATCCCAGGTCACTGGTTCAAGGTTCACTCAACCTTCTGTCTTTCCAAGGTTGGCCAATTGAGTTTGCTGGCATGGGGAGATGTATAGCTTGCATAATTAATTACACCCATTGAATACGGTAAGTGCTATGGAGCAGGATATAAGCAACACACATTGCTTTAAAAAGAGGTTTTTAAAAGGATCCTCTTTCCCATCTATGCCCTTTACAAGAGGTAAATTAAGTCGTTAACATTGCAAATTGAAGCAGTGACAAAGCCCTTGCATAGGTATGCTCCATTTCATTCTGTAGAGGTGCTCATAATTACAGAAATATTGTAACAGTTCCTTTTGTTTTCTTACTTGCTATAGCAAAATAGAACCATTACGGCTCAGTCAGAACTTGTCTTAATCAAGAGATCAAAATTGGAGAAAAAACTGATTAGCAGATAATACCATGTCTGATTCTTGCCTGTTTGCATTTTGTTTGGCTCCTTTGATTAAACAGGCAACCAGGAAAAGCAAAGTGAAGTTTAAGTGAGGGGAAAAGAGGAGACAGGCAGCTCCTCTTCTAAAGTGCAGCTGCTTTTTGATCTCCTGGCACATTTTCTTGCTTTCTTATTGGCCTCTTGCTTTCTCTCCAGTTGCCTCATCTGTGAGTTTCGTTCTGGATTGATGGGAGCAAAAACCTGCAGAGAGAGCTCTTCTTTGTTTTAGCTCCTGCATTACCAGGGGGCAGGAAAAAATCCTGTGCTCATGAAACAACTAACCCCTAGGACTAAAGTCATTTTATCCTCTCTTAACTGATGCATCGTTCCATGGCATGAACAAGCTTTGTAATTATGACTTCCTTCAACGAAGGCACAAGGCCTGCAGCCCATTTTTGTCCTTAAGGAAGGAAGGTCTCGTCTGTAAGCCAGTGTTTTAGTGCCGTTCAGTTCCAGACAATTCCGTGGTTGGCTTGTAAACCTAACTCCTGCGCCCTTGAAAGAAGACCAAATGACATGCAGGAGGGGCTGAGAGTTATTTCACTGACGAGTATTGTATTTCCTTTTACCAGCCTGACTCCATATCTCTGTCGTTGTTCTTTAGTTTCCCTGCAAGAAAGAGCAAGCAAGCCAGAGGCGTTACTTTCTCCTCCAGCATCAAATGTGTGTTGCTGAGAAGGTGCCTCCTGCCCCACAGGAGCTGTTTGGTGCCTGCTTGTCATACTAATAGCAATATGTTCTGAAGCTCAGCTGAATTTCTGTGCTTTTGAAGTTCTTCATCTTCCCCAGTTCACTTTTGGAAGTATGTGTTGGAGTGAAGAAAGGAACTTGAAATATTCATGTTCATTTGTTTTAAGCGGAAATTTTGCTGGAACACCAGCTACCCAGAAGATAACAGCTGGAGGGCAGTTTTAACTTGGGAGCATAACGTATGAAATTCATTTGGGGGCCAGTGTGTAGTGGTTCTAGGAGCTGCAGTGAACAGGATTATGTGTTGCACTTAAGGGCATGACATAACTCTGTGTGACTTAGGCTGTGGCTGCATGGGAAAGAAAATGCAGTTTGCTTCAAAGTTTTTTAAACCAGGTCCTCGCTGGTTTCTGCAGGTGAAATATTTGTAGCTGGCCACACCAATATGACAAATCACCATGTTGAAAGAATTCACAGGGGCAGAAGCCAAAAGCTGAGGGGAGGGGAGAGATCATCTCTGCTGAAATCAGCAATTTCCACTGGAATTACCACTTCCCTTCCTTTCCTTTCCTTTCCCTTCCCTTTACGTATTTTTATTTTTTCCAGGATGACATAGCAGTTATCCAATACAGTGCTGCTTTGGGCAAGCATATAATTTTTTTAATGGAAAATTTTTTTGTAGGGGAGAAGACATCAGAGTGTAGTATTATGTCCTATAATTGCTGTTTTGCTTTTGATCAGGCAGTCATACATGCCAGAAAGTTGAGAAAAGTGATGCCATCCAAATTCAGAGCAAAATAAACTACCCCCCTGCTGGCAGAACAAAAAGAGATGATTCCCACATGAAAAGCAGTGTGCTTCCCTACTGTTAGGTTTATGTCATGTAGTACCGGTTTTTATCCATGCCAAATTCTAAACAAACTGTGGGTTAAAAGCTAATGTAATCAGCCTCTCAGAGAAGTAGGACAGAATCCTGTTGCCCTAAGACGGGGTCCCCAACCCCTGGTTTGTGGCCTGGTGCTGGTCCGTGGCCTTGTCCAGACTGGGTCGCGGAGACAGATCTCCCCAGTTTTTATCCATGCCAAATTCAAAACAAGCTGTGGGTTAAAAGCTAATGTAATCAGTCTCTCAGAGAAGTAGGATAGAATCCTGTTACCCTAAGCCGGGGTCCCCAACCCCTGGTTTGTGGCCCGGCACTGGTCCGTGGCCTTGTCCAGACCGGGCCGCGGAGACAGATCTCCCCCCCCCGCCCGCACGCCCAGCTGCACATGCGCGTGAGTGTGCATGAATGCCCCTGCCCCTTTCACATGCTTGTGAGTGTGTGTGTGTGCCGTGTGAGCACCCCTGGCCATTTGTGCATGTGCACAAGTGCCCAAGGGCCTGCTTGAGCAAATGCTACCCCTTTGCACATGAACGCGAGTGCAGCGGTGCCGTGCCCCCCTGTGCACAGACCCCGTCCCCCCAACCTGTCTGTGGTGTCAAAAAGATTGGGGACCACTGCCCTAAGCAACCCCATAAGAACAGTTTTGCAGTGTTAGGGACCTGTTTCCTTTGCCTTTTGTCATGTGTCCAGTGTTCCCAGGATTACACAATAAATTGTGTTGCTGCCTGTGTGACTGAGTACACATCCAGAAGTCCAGAAATTAAGAAAACCCCTTGCATTTAGCTCATGTTTTTTTCTTTCTTGGATTTTGGGCTTAATGAGCTGGAGTATGACTACTGAAGAAAGCAAGGCCATTCTTGGTAAACATTGGGAGAAGTAATTAAGACATTAACTGGTCCATTTCACATGCCCTGGTGTTGTTGTCATAAAATAGGTTGAGTGAAGTTGTGGCTCAGTGGAAAAATGTCCAGTAAACAATAGAGGGTGGTGTAGAAAACATTTGTTGCTCCCGTCCCATCAGAATGGTGAAGGGCTGTTCCTGCTGTCATGTGCAGGAGGACTGCAGGAAGCAGAACCTTTCCTGTTACTAATCCATGAGCAAACACACAGTGCAGAGTCTATGAAGCAGCAGGGTCTCTAATATCTGTCTTTTGAAAACCTCACTGCAGTAGAAGGTTTGTTATTCTGGTAAAGATCCTTGTATGAAAGGGAGGAGTGCACTGTAAAATGTGATCCAAACAGTGATAATATTAATGTCGTGCCTGTCAGAGGGCTCCCAGTGCTTTTAAAAAGGAACCAAGATCTTCTGCTACCGTAGCTTTCAAAGAGGTAGTCATGATCAAAGGTACTCAGTTTATTGACCTTGGAAGGCTGAGTGAACCTTGAGCCAGCTGCCTGGGATTGAACCCAGGTCACAAGCCGAGTTTTTGCTGAAGTGCTGCAGTTTGACCACTCTGCCATGAGGCTTTTTTCACAGTGAGCTTTAGTTAGTCTTTCAGGTGCCAGGAAGCTTTTATATTTTGTTTTGTGTGCTGTCATTCTAGCATACCCTGTGCACACCCCAACACTGGATAAACGGCCATGTGATCTCACATTTTGCCCCCTGGGTGTCACTCTGGTGCTTGATTTGTTGGCAGAGAATCTCAGTCTTCCTCATACTCTCTACCGCCTCTTTCCCGATCCCCTCCCAAGCAAACACTTGCCTCCCTCCCTGCCCAGTTGGGTTCTTGTTTAGCATGAAAGAAAGTATGCATGTGAATGAAAATGTGGAGAGTGAACACTGCTGCTGGAAACGCTAAGGTCCAGAAGCAACATTGGAGAGAAATCAGTGTCCAATATTGGTTTGCTATAAATGATGGTTACTCTCTCCAATCATAACCTTTCTGACAGTAATCTCTGTCCACTGAGGTGAAAGATGCATTCAGCGTTAGTGTTGTCTTCTGGGAATCAAAGTGAATGGCATGGCAGCCTTAATGCTTCGGATACTTAGAGATCTTTAGACCCCAACCTCTGGAACATAAATCAATCATGTTTTGCCATCCTAGCAAGAATGGACCATTGAACTATTCTAGCTGTGATTAAGAAACCGAGGGAATGTTGAAAGATGTGACGTTTGCCTTGGATCAGACATGCCTGATGGTTTTACTTTTCTTCCACAGGATCCAACGGCAGCCTCAATCTCTGACAGAGACTGTGATACAAGAGAGGGGGAGACTGTCACTATGAATTACAAACCGTCACCGCTACAGGTGAAACTAGGTAGGTCTTCTGCATCTTTGCAATTACCTGCTGGTGTGTTACGAGTTCCGTGGTTCAGGTAATGACCCACAAAGGTCACACACACTTCTTTTTTAAAAAATCTCTTGAGTTCTGCCTTCCTCTTGAAAAGACCATTTCAGTTCAGAATTGAACATTGCAATGTTTAAATTACCTTGGTCATTCTTAGATATGCCTTAGAAACAGGCAGTAAGTAGAATTCCAATATTGTAAATCCAGTCCTGAGGCCAAAAGTGATTTGCCAAAAACCATCTCGTCTGTTTGAAGCAGAGATGATTTGAACGTGGAGGCTTCCTGGTGCATAGCACCATCTCTTAGTCACTCGCTCTCTCTGATCACGTTTTTTTCCCCTCCTCCTGCTGTGCAGTGCAACTGTCACTTTTTTTCATCTGGCTTTCTCCAAAAGGACATTCAGAGTTCAGCAGAAGGTTAAGAAATGCCACCAGTCCCACCCTGTGACCCACAATGGAGATTTGAATTACATAGTACTATGGAATGTATTTGTTATATCGTACGATAAATACAAAAAACTGAAAGTAACCATGTGTTCCCCCAGTGCTGATCAGATGCAACCTTGTATTGTGCTAAAGCCTAGAACATTTAGTGCCAGAACACCACAAGACAGATGCACCAGCGTGTCTCTCTCTAATACTTTCATGGGGTTTCTTTCAACTGGTTTGATGGTTATATAATGTAGAATAAGACTCCTTTTCTAACACAGCAGATCAGATGGAGAGCTGCATCTAAATTCAAATGTTAGCAGTCACCAAAATCTCTATTGCTGGAAGGCCATCCTAATCCCCACTTTTCATCAGGAACTGTTTTTATATGTAATGTATTAAAAGCATAGGGACGAGAAATGTTTTTCCTTTCAAAGTGAAATCAAACCTCAGAGTCCCCAAACAAGTAGATTTGCACTGTGTTGTGCCTAGTTTAGAACTGCATTAGGGTTTGATTCCCCTTGAGGGGGGTTCATGGGATTCCAGAGGCTTTAGTGACCTCAGGTTAATAGATTGTCTTGCTGTTTAGAGACGGCCTTTACAGATGTCAAGGAAGTGATATGTTTGGGGAAGTCGCACAGAGACAACACAAACTGACTTGCACATGCCGTGTGGCAGGAGTACTGCTGTCTGTCTTGTCTATTGAATGGTATTGATCCATCAGGACTGCTAAATTGCTCTGCTGGCTGGAAGAAGAAATAAGGGAAGGAAAAACTAATCATTGCCCATTCAGGAGGTGACACATGGTCAGCCTTAAAGGTAATAGTCTTTTGTCTTGAGCCGCAGTGATTGATGAGTTCCCACCTGGGGGGAACAGTTCCTCATGGTTCTTTGAGTATCCCAGAGGAAAAGGCATTCTTCCTCAACAGTACCATGGGTCCCTGGCTGCTATGCTAAATAATGTGTCAGCAGCAGTTATGTCGTGAATGTATCCAAGTGCATTGGATCATTGCTGTGCATGTTGTCATCTGCCCATCCACTCCAGCAAAGCAAAGCAAAGCAAAACACTCTGAAATCAGCTCCCGAGCAGCTACAAGAATATTAGTCAAGCCTGCTGTAATTCATAGGCTGAACCAATGGCTTCTGATTCCTACCTCTAAATCTATGGTTGTCTGTATTCAGATGTCATTCCTATGACATCCTGCAGTTTAAAGGAACAGTGTTCTCTTCCTTTAGCTTCTTGTTAACCCTGTCTGTATCTTTAGGAGAGAAAATGGCTGTTTGAAAAGCCAGAATGGACCTTGGAGAACAGCACTGATGTATTCTCTTCCATGAGCCTTAAAAACAGATTCCCCCCCCCACCTGGGTGGGAAAGCAAGACATGAATGCAAAAAAGGACAGGGTTCCCTGTACTGCTTAATCTAGACAGTGTGCATCCTACCAAGGGACACTTAGAAAAATCTTCCTCCGTTCAGTGTCCTTCAGATGAGTTGGACTGGAGCTTGATGCTGGCCATAGACAATGAGAGTTGTGGTCCACCCCATCTGAAAGGCACGAGACTGGGAAAAGATTCACTTAGGGCATAAACATAATCTACTTGGCCTGCTATAGGACACATCATGGATCAGTTTGTTTTCTTCCAATGGTTCCTGTGCTTTCCTGGAAGTCACTAATTGTTAGTTAGGCATCCTTCAGTCTCGAGAAACGATTGCCACGTGCTCTGTATGGAGGACTTGGAACAGCGTCTAGTGTGGCTGAGAAGGCCAATTTGAGAGTGACAATCCACTAATACAGTCCTATGGAGTAAAGCATTTTCACAGCTCAAACAATTGTTGCCTTGTTCCTTTTACCATTTTCATAACCTTCCTACATGCAAGGTGCTGAAAACTTGTGGTAGTGCTTCATCTTGGAGAGACAGTGGCAGAAACATGAGATGAAATGGCTGTTGCTTTGAAGTCTGTGGCATCTTAGCTATCCTGTGTCCTAGGGACCCCTACTCCTCCAGCATGCTTCTAATGAGACAGTCAGTGTTAACTGCTCTTGTCAGGGAGAAACTGGAACCTTCAGCCCCACACATAGCAGGACCGAGAGAAAAGGGCTCTCCTGATGATCTTAACACCCAAGCAGGGTCCTAAAGGGAGATGCAGCTCTTAAAACAGCTTGGGCCCAAATCGTTTATGGCTTTAAAGGTTAAAACTAGCACCTTGAATTGTGCCCAGAAACGGATCGGCAGACAGTGGTCCTGCTGTAACGGGGGTGGGTTATGTAAGTACCCACTGTAAGCAGTCCCAATTAACAATCTGGCTGCAGATTGTCCTGGGTCCACTGAAGTTTCCAAACACTTTCCAGAGACAATCCCATGTAAAGCACATTACAGTATATGTGCAGAAATGCCTTATAGTCCCGTTAGGATTCTTAGCATCATCTTTATAATGTTTAAATGCTTTTTCCATGTGTGGAGAAGTGAGGCACACCTTGTCTGCATTTCTGCATGATGCTCTCGCATATAGTGATTTTTGTTGATTTACGCCTGGGAGTTGTAAAATAGAGATCAGCTTTGTCACCTTTAAGTAGTCCCTGGTGGTGTGTTCTCTTGCTAGGAATACTGATGGAATGTTCTGCTGATTTCCCTCTGGCAGTTTTTTATTGCATCTGTTATCTTGAAGAGCACGAAGCCTGGGTAAAATAATATGGAGGATAGGCTGTTACCCAAGCAGCACATCCCCCCTCTCCACGTCGCTGAAATGGTCCAGTGGAAAGGCAAGAGCCAATACAACTGGTTCCAGCAACGTCACAGGAGTTGGCAGAATGACAGAAAATGCCTCCGGGACTCCGGCTCCGGATTTTGCCTCGAGGTTATCTCCTGAAGCCCTTTCCATAAGTGGATATAGCCACAAGGCAGTGGAGGTTTAAAGTCGGAGTTTTCCTTCTCCTAGATGGGCTGCCTTCCAGGGCTGACAAGCCCCACCTACCTGGCCGGTGCTCTAATAGTGTGGAAGTATGCAATGTTGATTGGCTTTCTTATTTACCAAATTAGGGTAAGAAATAGGATTAGAGAGTTTCATGCGCCATTTAACAGACTCTCTTGCTCATCCTCCTTTAAAGCAAAAACTCAGACCATGTGGTAAATGAAAATAAAGGTCCGCCTAGAAAAACTGTCCCACCAAAGCATTTGCCCAGACAAACCTGCACTGGCTTCCTCTTCAGGGAGGGGCCTTGGGGCTCCTGCTCTTAGAAAAAAGGATGAAACCCTGCCCTGCATCAGACCATGTGGTCAGTAAAAATAAAGGTCCGCCTAGAAAAACTGTCCCACCAAAGCATTTGCCCAGACAAACCTGCACTGGCTTCCTCTTCAGGGAGGGGCCTTGGGCTCCTGCTCTTAGAAGAAAGGATGAAACCCTGCCCTGCATCAGACCATGTGGTCAGTAAAAATAAAGGTCCGCCTAGAAAAACTGTCCCACCAAAGCATTTGCCCAGACAAACCTGCACTGGCTTCCTCTTCAGGGAGGGGCCTTGGGCTCCTGCTCTTAGAAGAAAGGATGAAACCCTGCCCTGCATCAGACCATGTGGTCAGTAAAAATAAAGGTCCGCCTAGAAAAACTGTCCCACCAAAGCATTTGCCCAGACAAACCTGCACTGGCTTCCTCTTCAGGGAGGGGCCTTGGGCTCCTGCTCTTAGAAGAAAGGATGAAACCCTGCCCTGCATCAGACCATGTGGTCAGTAAAAATAAAGGTCCGCCTAGAAAAACTGTCCCACCAAAGCATTTGCCCAGACAAACCTGCACTGGCTTCCTCTTCAGGGAGGGGCCTTGGGCTCCTGCTCTTAGAAGAAAGGATGAAACCCTGCCCTGCATCAGACCATGTGGTCAGTAAAAATAAAGGTCCGCCTAGAAAAACTGTCCCACCAAAGCATTTGCCCAGACAAACCTGCACTGGCTTCCTCTTCAGGGAGGGGCCTTGGGCTCCTGCTCTTAGAAGAAAGGATGAAACCCTGCCCTGCATCAGACCATGTGGTCAGTAAAAATAAAGGTCCGCCTAGAAAAACTGTCCCACCAAAGCATTTGCCCAGACAAACCTGCACTGGCTTCCTCTTCAGGGAGGGGCCTTGGGCTCCTGCTCTTAGAAGAAAGGATGAAACCCTGCCCTGCATCAGACCATGTGGTCAGTAAAAATAAAGGTCCGCCTAGAAAAACTGTCCCACCAAAGCATTTGCCCAGACAAACCTGCACTGGCTTCCTCTTCAGGGAGGGGCCTTGGGCTCCTGCTCTTAGAAGAAAGGATGAAACCCTGCCCTGCATCAGACCATGTGGTCAGTAAAAATAAAGGTCCGCCTAGAAAAACTGTCCCACCAAAGCATTTGCCCAGACAAACCTGCACTGGCTTCCTCTTCAGGGAGGGGCCTTGGGCTCCTGCTCTTAGAAGAAAGGATGAAACCCTGCCCTGCATCAGACCATGTGGTCAGTAAAAATAAAGGTCCGCCTAGAAAAACTGTCCCACCAAAGCATTTGCCCAGACAAACCTGCACTGGCTTCCTCTTCAGGG